GATACACATGATATTGCCACCTCAGAAAGCCTTTATAATTAAGGGGAGAATAGTTATGTATAGTCCCCAGAGGCTGTTTGGCAGACTACCTAGTAAGATTTCAGAAAATTTTTATTTTTCGTTTTGGGAAAGTACAGGAAGAGGAAAATGAAGACTAAATCTGAGTTAACAACATAATCTATCTTTTCAGGTTACTCAGGTTGTCTCAAATAAAATATTGTCCCTATTCTTTGCTTTAAAATGTTTTTATAGCTAAAAACATAAAACCAGAGATATCCCTGCCAGTTTCTGTTAAGATAAATGTCAGTTGTTATTTTAAAAGATAAACATAAAGGTTACATAAGCTTACATTATTCTATTTAAGTGTCTCTGACTTTGATGATAAAAAATGGCAGAAATATGTTCCCTATTTCATCCAAGCTTGAACTTGACTTGTTAGATTTGAGGAAGTTCTACCCTTAATTAATTTCAAATGGTCAGTTTCAATTAGTTTTGATAAATAATATTGTATAATCAAATTACCACTGAGTCATCCGGCAGTACTGCAAAATTGGTCATTTTAATCATGAAGCTACTTTTAAGTGTAGTTTACAAAAAAATTACAAGGTCAACCACAGCCTAGGACAATATTTGAATCCACTATAAAAGACAAGGTTTTTTATGTGTAAAATATAAATAGAGCATTCAAATTCATAAGAAAAACATAACACCAATAGATAAGTGGGCAAAGTATATTAACCACAATTCACATGTAGGAGGAAAGACAAATTAGCAAACATATAAAAAGTATATGTGTCTTCATTTGTAATAAAAAAAAAAATACACAGAGCAAACCCAAGCTTCGATTTTACACCTGCCCAGGTAGCATCTTTATAAAATAACTAGAGGCCCGGTGCACAAATTTGTGCATTGGTGGGGTCCCTCAGCCTGGCCTGCGCCCTCTCGCAATCCGGGACCCATTGGGGGATGTCGGAGAGCCAGTTTCAGCCCAATCCCTGCAGGCCCGATCCAGACAGGAGGGAGCCCAATCCTGTGTGTTGAGCATCTGTCCCCTGGTGGTCAGTGCGTGTCATAGCGACAGGTCGACCGGTTGTTTGGTCATTCAGTCACTTAGGCTTTTACATATATATAAATAACATCCAATGTTATCAAGGTAAAGGAGAGACTGTTTCTCTTCTTCATTGCTAGAAGGACTATACACTATTGCAACACCATCAGAAAGCAATATGGCAAAGCATATGAACAGCCAAAAATATTTTTTTCTCCCCTGGAAATTGATCAATAAAAGTCTACAGTAAGGGCATGGTAGCTTTAATTGCCACAGAGTGACTGAAAGCACATGGGGGAGGACAACCTTAGTTGACTCCAAATCTCTGTCTAGCCCCTTCCTGTGTCTGCCACTCCCACTCCAAGCCTCAGTTTCCAAGTAAAATGAGATTAATAAAACCTATGTTCTGATCCTTCTATAAGCCTTAAGTGAAATCATATATGCTTTTAAAGTGCTAAACATAGTGCATGGAACAGAGTAAGTGCTTAATAAATGTCAGATTACATTATTTTTATCAATTAAGACCAAAAAAATAAAATTGAAACACTTAATTTTTCATTTTCAGAGACATCTATATATATAAAAGGCTAATATGCTAAGTGTCCGTCCGGGTAATGATGTCATGTAGCAACACCCGGCTTCCTCTCCCTAGTGATGATTAGCCTTGCAGTTTCTTCAGCCCAGGAACACAACTTGCTTTAGAGCCAGGTACACACATTTCACATTTTAGCCAAATGTCTGTGAAGTGTTTTCCTGTGCCTCATTTCATTTGATCCTCATAGAAGTCCTGGAGTAGGTAGATAGGAGACTTGCTGGAATCCTATTTTCTTTTCATTAGCCAGAACATGGAGATTTAGAAAGTTTAGAAACTTGACCCGACTGAAAAGAAGTAAGAAATGGTGGACCTTGAAAATGACTTCAGGTTTTCTCACTGTGTAGAATATAGTCAAACACTGCTGCAGCTAAATATTTTACCCTTTGTTCTCCATGCGTGATCTACAATAATAATCTGCTTCATGTTGATATTTACTGCTGTGTTGCTGACAATTACCTGAAAGAGAAGTTGGGGTGTTTTACTGGGCTAGAAAAAGTTTTAGCTAAATGAGAAATCAGGTCTAATTAAGCAAATTTATTCTATATCTATAAAAGGCTAAGTTGACTCGCACATGAGTGATACATACAAAACTCTTGCTGGAGCCAATCACACACGTGTGTTTCCATCTGTCATTGTCGATCATGAATTTGATTGACACTTCTATTATGGAGAAAGGGCGAATAACAATATTAAAATATTTCTTCTAATTAATTTCCTTTCAATGTGCATGAATTCGTGCACAAGGCCACTAGTGGTTTAATATATAGTGACAAAACAGTAAAACAATTTGCACAGCCATTTTCTTAGTATGAATTTTATAGAAATCACGAAAGACTTATACAATAATATACTAAATAAATACAAAATAATATGCTTATTCTTATTGAAACTATTCATGTGAGTGCAATTATTCAAAAATAAAAACTGTTGTATAAGGGTGGGGGATTATGGTTGATTAAACATTATTTTAATGTTGTTATACTTCTATTTATAAGATTAACTAGTATATTAAAATCAGCCACACAAGAATGATTCCACACTTTAGCATGTATTCAGCATACTAAATAAATCAAATGCACTGTGTAGAGAAGGGGGAAAAACCTAAATCACTTTGACCAATCATATACATCTACTTAATTCAAAACATTTCCAGACAAGAGATCCTCTACTTCTATCAAACTAGCACTTTAGAAGTGGACACATTCTGGTGTAGTACATATAGTCAATTCAAAGAATTAAAAAGAAAAGCTTAGAGTTACTTTGACTAGATATGGAGACATAAAACAATTTTGATGCTAGAATATAACTTCTTAGCCCAATTGGCCTTTTTCAGTTTTACTAACAACCAAAAGCATGAGAACAATGATACAATATACTTTTTATCAGCTAAATATCTGAAAATATTACCAGCTAGTTAACCAATCCCCTGGATCTCTAAAAAGAGCTGATCATCCATAATTCAAGGTTATTTAGGAAATAAATGAGGAAATATATGTAAAGCATTTAGCTCAGTGCCTATCACTGGGAACATGACTTTTTCTTTTCTTCCACAATCCCACCTAACCATTTTCTGAGAAAGGATAACATGTCCTATCTAACTCTCTCAATGTGAGAAAAATGAATGAAATAACATGTCCCCCCAAAAAGGTGCTTTGAAAAATAAAGAAGCGATCTAAAAGCACAGAGTATTGTTACTAAAAGTGTATGTCTGGAGAACGGGGAAATACACCTGTCTAAAAACACTTTAAACTATAGCAAGGTTTTTAATAGTTACTCAGCTGATTAATATTTATAGCCCAGAGCGACAAGACCTTTCACTCCTGAGAAGCAGGTTTTCAAGATTTTTCTCTATAAAAATCTTTGTCAATGATAAAAAGTTATTTATATATTAATCTAGTCATTCCCTCTCGTTCTCTCTTATTTTCAACACATTATTTTACTTTTGATTTTGTTTTGTTCACATCTAGTTTCTCTGGTTTATTTCACTGATTTTAGTTAGCTTTATCCTGCTGCCACTTCCTCATTTCTTCTGATTTAAGAGAAAGATAAATAAGAAATCGGTGTTGTTACAAGCCATACTGACATTTCCATTTGAGGCAAAAGGAAATGTCAGTAATACATTTGTTTTTTAATTTTTGATTATTTGTTCACCACAGATTTGTTGTGTTAATTTTGATTTTTTTAAAAAATATTGTATTAAAATGTTTATTTTGATTATGGGTTTTCTGGCACCTCCTTACATTTTGTGCATAAGACAAATACTTCATTCTCCCTAATCCTATCCCTGTAAAAAGGGGAGGAACTCACTCAGAAAGTTTGAGTGTTCATAACAGATTGACAGAAGCAGATGCAACAGCAAAGGGCACAAGCACATGTGAACCTGACTTGATTCTTCCACTCATGAAGAGACCTACATGTGGATCATCCCACTTTCTGTCTTGCCAAAGCCAGGAAAAAAGGATGAAGAGGAAGAAGATGCCTGAAATTCCTTTAACACACATCCCCTTTCTGGAGACATTACTCTGACATCCTAGGTTTGGTCTCTTGTCTGTCTCCCAAGAGCCAAATGAATTGCTAAGGCAGGAAAGACAGAAAAGCTGCTCTGCATCATGGTACAGACTGGCCCATGGATGGTAGGGTTTCCAAACTCTGATTTGGAGGACAGCATAAGAACATTTAGGAAAAACAAGTTGAAATGTGAGCCAATAATCAGACTGTAGTGAAGGGACACCACTGAGGGACTGTGTGTGGGAAAGACTGCCTCCCTTTGATCCTGAGGGCTGCATTTGCACTTTCCTCCTTCAGTGAGTTCTGTCTGGAGCAGGCTGGCCTAGCCTGGGGTCTTTTTCACAGGGATGCAGCCTTTCATTCCACAATTAGAGATAAGGCCCCAAGTGCAAAGAGGAAACATTTAAAATGAAAGACCAGGAATGAATATGTCTCAGAGACTGTAAATCTATAAATACTCAGAAAGGGCAAAATGTGTAAAAAGCACTATTGTCATTGACCTATGACACATTGAATGTTGAGTAACTGGTAACAGGTATTTACTTCATACACTTCAGCCCAGCTGGACTTGGCTTGAGGTGCTGCTGACTAGGAGCTGTGTGGGACATAGGTGACAAGGGGAACTCATGGCAACAAATCATTCCATTTTTACCTCTTGCCACCTTCCTCCAGGCCTAACCACAGGAATCTCAACTGGCGGAGGGAGGAGGCAGGAGGAAGGAGGAGAAACTTGAAATGTGTTTTGCAAGGGTAGTGAAGACTTACTTTCCAAATGAAGCCACCAAGCATTAGTAACCACAACTTTGGTGAAACCAGCTTCACCTGTTTGATTGATGGCTCGTGCTAATTCACAGGTGAACAAAATGTAGTCAATCCCAACTCTGCTTCTTACCAGCACTGTTACAGAACATCGCTATGCCTCGGTTTTCTCACCTGTAAAATGAATATAGTCATAGTCACTGCGGCATAGGGTTGTCATGAAGGTAAAATGAGACAATACATGTCAAATGCTCAGCACAGTGCCAGGCACATAGTAAGTGCTCATACATGTCAGCTATTATTGTCAACCAGACTCATGCAGTCTAGTACTCATTTTCATACATTTATAAGCAATTTACAAAATCTTCAAATTCTCAAAAGCATGTTAGCCCCAGACCTAACCATCAAATATGCCATCTTCTCTCTTCTAATACAGCTTCCTACCTCTTTCCAATATTTTCTATGCCACCAGGCTAAAGACATGAGTATCTCTAAGTAGCAAATATGAAAATCCAAGCAAAAGAAAGATTACAGTCAATTCTTTTAGATTCCAGTCTCATTATCTCAAGACCTAACCAGGTGAGAGGTGTAGATTAGAGTGGGTGTTCATGACCATGAATGGTGGATGTGTCTGGGTGTCTCTGCTCTATAAAATTCAGGAGGCATTACAGGTCTGAAGTTGTTTAAGATCTGGTGCTAATAAATGTCACATCCCGCAGCTTCTGAGAAGGGAAAAAACGGTCCCCGTCCATGGCCTGCACTACTAATCAAGGCCAGCTGCCTGGGCCTGTGTCCAGTGAGTCAGGCAAGGTGGAGGGAAGAGGAGAAAGAGGGGGACCCATCCCTTCCTCAGAGGAAACCCCCCATCCTGCTGCTGTCTTTGCAAAGAGGGGCTTCTGTTTACTGGAACATCCTCCTCCAGCTGGAAGGCCTTGTCCGGTGGAAAGGCCTCTCTCACACTTGTGTCCTTGGCTCTCTTGCCTGGACTGCACCCAGTTTTTTGTTAGGAACCCACTAGTCTCTGCTGCCAAGAGATGTGTTGCACCCACCTCCTGCCAAACAGAGCAGAGATGCCATGTGAATTCCAGGGGAAAACCCCTATTAGAATTCACAGTGTTTACTGCCAACTTTAAAGTGACAAGTGTGACAGAGAGAGCCCAAGGACAGATCCACAAAACCCCATCTTTCCTTGTGGCCTTGCTCTAATCACTTCACTTCTCTGGACTCAGGTTCTTCAACTATAAGTGCAAATCATAGGCGTTGTAAGGAGCTAGCAAGAATTTTGTCAGTTCTCATGTTGGGAAAGTGTTATGTTGTGATTTCTGTCACCGCTCCAGGGGTTGAGGGATCACTCAACAAGCTCCTGTTTGGTCCAGACTCAGCCCGCTGGTGACAGACCCAGCAGCTATCTGGGTCCTGTTCTAGTATTGCATCATCTGGGGAGGAGCGGGGAGGCTGAACTAGCAGAATTCAAAAACAGCTTTGACTTGGAGTTGGGAGTAGGGTTTTGGAGAGACAAGTTGGTGCATGACTTTGATCTTTAGCAAGCAAAAAAAATTTAACTAACAAAATATAGAAGGGCAGTTTGCGCTTTTGGGAATAGCTGAGTTGGTTGGAGCATCATCCCATGCACCAAAGGGTTGCAGGTTTGATTACTAGTCAGAGCACATACATACCTAGGTTTCGGGTTTGATCCCGGTTTAGGCCATGTATGGGAGGCAACCGATCAATGTCTCTCTCTCACATTGATGTTTCTTTCTTTCTCTCTCTCTCCCTCCCTCTCCTCACACACACTTCCTTTCTAAGATCAATAAATATATATCCTTAGGTGAGGGTTAGAAAAAGGGTAGATTTGGGGGTGGGGGGTGGAGAGAGAGATATAGAGAGATCCCAAGACTATTATCAGTAAAAAACAATTTCTAAACACCGGTTTCAGCCTTGTGAAACCCTTCTTGGTCAATATGAGAGTTTCCAAGATGATCAGAGAAATGTTTTCATTAGCAGGTTTCCAGATGCCTTCCTGTGCTCTAAGTGGCAGGAGGCCTTGGCAGACACCCACCTCCCAACACTGCCTGCCTCCGCCCACCATGGCAGGAAGAAAAGTGGGATACAGCGCATGTTACTCCATGCAGGCTGTAGGCCTGATTCTGAACAGAGCCTTTGGAGCTAACTTTCCCTTTAGAGAAGGCCAGTCCCACATTGTCTCCTTGTAGTTCTGGGCCTTTTAACAATTAGTCAGCACCTGCTGGGTGTAGGAATAATAATAAATAAAATGCCTGTCCGAACACCCACTGCTGTCACCTCTACTTGTCTTGCACCTGGTGCCTTCTACCCTCATGTCCTCCCAGGCCACTAATTTTTTCATACTGAGTGCTGAATGGTGGGCACAAAGAGGGGAAGATGGGAACCCACAGTGCTGATGGGGTGGCACTGACCTCCTGCCCTGACCATCTAAACGGGTTCCCCCACCTGTGGACCTCATTTAACCATTTGCTGCCAGAGTCTTGAGCCCTAGACTAATTTTACAGGAAACTGATTTGATCAGCCCAAAAGCTGATTTTGCCCCGGAGTGATTTGCAGAAACTGCCTACAATTCACATAGCTACAGTCCAAGCATCTGACCTCCCAGGTGGACTTTTGTTATTTCAGTGGACAGTTAACATTCATGAAACTCAGTGACCACCGCAGTCTGATCACTGACACTTGAGGTTGTAGAGCACATCGTATTTTTAATTGGGCCGCAGATGGGTCTGCATTTCCTAACTGAATTAAAAATGGGTACTAATTTAACGGCTGTGGGTGTTTTACCTATATCTTTATTTTGCATTTTGAACTTTCTTCTTGATGCAATTTAAATGGGAATGTATAGGATAAATGGGCATGCATATTCTTTAATCATAATAATCTCTAGGGAGTGGATCACACCCCTCTGCCTCCGGGATGTGATCCACTGTTGGTGGGCACACAACTCCTCAAACAAAAATAAGTGGGAAGTTCCAATGGTGAATTCGTGCGCAGAAGCTGGGCCTTCTCGGGCGGTGAGCCCTCCCTGAAGGGCTCCTGCCTCTGCCGCTTTTCCAGGAGGAGCGGGGCTGGGCTCCCTCCCGCGCCGGGAAGGCTGGGTTTCCCTAAAAGCCTCCTCCCGCTGCTGGCTCCGCACCTGGGGAGGCGAGGGGGGCCCTCCTTCTGGCCGCACAAACCCCGGGACACAGAGTGGGAAATGTGGGGCTGCGCTGTGGAAGCCGATGGCTTGGAGGCCTGGAAAATGAACGCAGCCAGACCGAGGCCCGGTGTCCCCAGCGTCGCGCCAACACCTCCGCTCTTAGCATCGGCGAGAGAGCGCGGCGAGTTGCACCAGCCCACGCCCCGCACCACCTCAGCCTTCGACCCGGGGAAGGAAGAGGGTGCTGAGCCCCTTCGCCGCCCTTCTCTATGGAAGGGAGTGGGCAGGCGGGTGGCGGGCAG